ATTAGAGTAGAAGAAGTAATTAGAGTAGAAGAAGTATAGATACAGTATCTCACAAAAGTGAGTACACCCCTCACAGTTTTGTAAATATTTTAGTATATCTTTTCATGTGACAACACTGAAGAAATAAAACTCTGCTACAATGTAAAGTTGTAAGTGTACAGCTTGTATAACAGTGTAAATGTGTTGTCCCCTCAAAATAACTTAACACACAGCCATAAACGTCTAAACCATTGGCAACAAAGGTGAGTACACCCCTAAGTGGAAATGGAATATGTGCATTTTATTTCAGTAAAAGCCAACAGTATTATGACATTCCCAGTTAAAATGTCAAGCAGAAATTGAAAAATAACAACATTTCTAAATTTCTGATACTTTTTTAGATTTCATATTAAATTATGTTTCATATAGAAATATTTGATTTGAAATGAAATCCCTGTTTCTCCTGAACAAAATGATATAAGTGTGGGTGCACTTAATCTGAAAGAGGTGAAATATGGTTGAACCACATCTAGAGCAAATTCCAGATTTTGTTTATGTTTTGATCACAATTTGTACAGTTGGCTCCGTCCTCCGTTCTGAGGGAACCTAATCAACCTTCCAAACCAAAAGTCAAGTCAAACCCGTCAAAGAATCCCTCATCTAGTTCCATGTCTGTCACCATCATCCTTATCTCATCTAGGTATCTATGAATGGGTTTTGAATGATAAGTAAGTAAATTTTCACACCTATTATTATTCTCCTCACCAGTCCTCCCAACCAGTCACCTATTCCCAAAGTCCAATCAAATTCATAAAAAAGATGCAACCCGGGATCCGCTAACACTTCCTCTCTCTTTGACTAACTCTACAATAAAGAAAAAAAATTACATAGTTCAGAAAAAAGAAAAATAAGTATTTTCAAATATATATATATATATATATATATATAAATTAAATCAGTTTGTACAGCATACCTTGTTTTCGATAAAATGGCTGAATGTAGCAAGACGGCTGACACTAAGACCATGTCTGGTTTCACATAGTTATTAGTATTTCCATTTGTTGCTGGATTTTCACCACACTACTCTTGCACCATCCTAATAGTAGAGAGGGTTATTTCAAAACTTGTGGCATTAGATAGCACCTCACTTTTCAGGTACTTGTCTACAAAATGTATGTCCTCATAAGTAAACAACTCAGCTTCTTCCGCTTGCATGTGTTTTGGTCAGCCAGAAGGATTGGTGACCAAAACGGTCTCTACAATCATAAAATCATGCATCAATAATTCCAAGAACATAAAAACATTTAAATATAAAAATATTAAGACTTTTTCCACACTATTAAACCGTATAAAAATGTACTCAAAATTACCAGATCATTCCTTAATTACTTTGAAAACTCAGTACTGGGTTCTACAGTTAATAAGTAACCTCTTACTACAAAATCCTAATTTCTGGAGAGTCGCTACAATGTTTAATCGGTATAACCACAGTGCAGAGAAGAAAGTACAATTGCATTACACATTTTTTTTTCCGTAGAATAACCAGTTGAAATTAGTATTTTGAGATTCCTAATGATGTAGCTTTCCGAGTATTAATTTGCAGAATGAGAGTGAGAGCATGCTCTCGCCCTGCAAAAATCATCTATATGCAAACATTTTCCACCCTAATCGCCTTGGTATGTACATTGATAGCATCAATTCAAGTAAAAGAATAACACTTAAACATCTTCTAATACGATCTTCCAGCAAAATGCTCTGTTTACCAATACAATAGATTAATGTCACATATTTTAGCTGCCTTACTTAGAAATTTAATAATCCCAGTATAAATTTTCTGATCTCTATTAAAAATATCTATTCTTCATTGCCCGTTGATCAATGAGTTACACTTGATAAACCTTACTTTTGGATAAATACATCATACTACCCATCCCCTCTTTTTTTTTTCTTCAATAGTCATCCACATATTAGAGTAGAATGAAGCCAAAAAGGAAGCCCATAACTTCAGGATACCATAACAGGACTATTACATGACAATATGTATAATTCCGTGGCTGATTAATAAAATCATAAGAGGACAGCGCTATTAATTTGCTCATGACACCCTTTGTGACAAGGAGTATAAAGGTGTTTTTGATAAATAAAGCACAAACTGACAAATAACCTTATTAATTGTCCTAAAAGTTATCATGATTGGTTGATATTAAAAATTCAGTACTGATGATTAAATACAATAAGTAGTCTTATACAAAATAATACTCCCCTAATCTAGCACAAGGATCAGACAAGGCACTGTGCGATGGAAGATGTGAATCAGGATTTAATTTGAATCATTTTGTGGGGTCCCCTTCATGTAAGATGTAACAAGCGCTTTTCTTGCATATTCTCATATTATCAAATTATCTCCATGAGCAATTGCATGCAAGATTTCACTTTTGCCAACTGTAAGCATTTGACTTGTGTTAAAACACTAAAGGCTTGCGTTAATGACATGCAAATATTATTTACTATTTATATTGATAGACAATGGACATTAACAAATAACACACCAATTTATTACAAAACATAGAATTCATACTCAATAAACATTGCAATATAACTCTTTTTCTCATTCCACAAAACAGAAAACAAAAGATGTAGATACATAGAATGGATACCCAGCAGAGGTGGCAAACAAACACATTCATTGATGTGGAAATGAACCACAACTAATCCAACATAAGTCAATAAAATAAGCAAATACATTTCACACTCTGTGTCCTAAAGAGGGAAAAATGAAACAATAAGACAACATTTAGGTTTCTATGCTAGGTGCATGTTATCATTTTGTTTTTTGTTTTATAAAAGGTAATTAGTACAGATTAATCACACTGCAGATGATGGGTTCCCATAAGATACAGGGCTAAAATTAAGATCCTGGTACTTGCTTACAAATCTCTACACATGCTGCCCTGACCAAAACCTCACCAATACACAGATATGTCCTGTCTAGGCCCCTACACTCTGTCAAAAACCTACATCTATCCTCTTTTCTTACACCTACCTCTGATTCTCAATAGAAAGGAAAAAAATAAAACAAGGTTGCGCCTAGTAAAATGGAATATACCAAAGATAAAAATAACAGAAGTACTATATACAATAAAACAAGAGTAGTCCAAATACAATGGTATATAAGAGAGTATTAAAAAGTATTGAAAGGAACAGACAGACTGGATAAAATCAAAAGTTGTTGGAGGTACATGTAAAATATAAAAGAGAACTCCAATGGTACAGTATATTAAAGTATATGTTATAAAATCTATATAGAGTCTGTTATACTCACATTTACCAGAGCTATATCCAGCTCTGGTGTGTATACAGTGAAGTGGAATGATCCCTACTTCTAGGATGTATGTGGTAGGTAGGTTCTTCAGATTTTTGCAATGATAGTGGTTTCAAACTAGGAAGATAAATATAGTGCTCACTGTAGAAATAAAACTTTAAAATAATTCACAGTATAGGAGATGTACTCACAAATGTTAGATCAGGCTTACTGCTCGATGAGTAGGGCACTGGTGGTATTATCCCCACCTAGGATTCTTTATTCATCAATAAAAATGTCCTTTATTGGTATGAATAAATAAAATGTATCTACGGTTTTAACCCCTTAAAACCGGAGGACGTACAATTACGCCCTCTAATAGGCGGCTCTAAACGCCGCCGGGCGTAATTGTACGCCCTCCGGTTTTTGTTAACTTACCCGGTCGCCGGCGGTCCCACGCCGGCGATCGCGGTTGGGGGGACTCCCAGGGAGCCCCCCGCGGCACGTCCGTCCTCGTCGAAGCCCCCCGGCCATGTGAGAGTGGGGTCCTAGCGAGGACCCCACAATCACATGGCCGGGGATAGCTGGCTTCTGTATTGCCGGCAGGGGGGCTGCCTGTAATGACAGGTGGTCCCCCTGCTGGCTGAAAATAAAATAAAAATAAGTTAATGGTGTAAAAAAAAATAATTATATATACTTAGATCATATATATATATGATATATAGTATATATATACACATATACATACACACACATACACCGTCTAGGTGTATTTTACTATTAATATATATATAATTATATATATATATTAATATCAAATTACACATAGACTGATACTGATTAAATATATATATAATTATTGTTATATATATATTTATATATAATATAAAAAAAATAAAAATGTAAATACGTTAAAAAATAAAATTAAAAAATAATTAAAAATAAATAATTAAAAAATATATAGATGTGTGTTATTTCGTTCTAACTGTTTTGTGAAATTAATATATATATATATATATATCAAAATACACGTAGAACGAAATAATATATATATATCTTTCCTGGCTAATCATGGCAGCATATACACATGGGTTAGCTCCTCCCCTACAGCCGATAGGACAGGAAAACCACCAAGGTTTTAAAAGGAGGCTCCATCCCTAAGGTCCTCAGTCTTTTTCCTGTCCTACAGCCCTTAGGACGTGAGCAATTTGCTCCCTTTACTTATGGACATGTATGTTGTTTTATCTTCATTACTTTATTTGCTGTTTTACTGTAGTACATTATGCAGTTGTGCTTTTATGCTGTGATGCATTTAAGCTTTGATATCTTTAACCCCTTAAGGACCAAACTTGTGGAATAAAAAGGGAACCATGACATGTCACACATGTCAGGTGTCCTTAAGAGGTTAAACTAGTGCATTATACATCTGTACCTTATTTTTAAGATTGTGGTACATAACGCGGTTGTGCTTTTACTAGGAAGCATTTAAGCTGTGTTGCATTTAAAACTGTTTTCATTTAAAGTTGCATGTAATACCGCAAGTCATTGAAGACTGCAGTGCTTTTGAAGACTGCAGTTTGTTTGAAAACTGTGATACATTTTGGAAACTGTGATACATTTTGGAAACTGTGATACATTTTGGAAACTGTGATACATTTTGGAAACTGTGATACATTTTGGAAACTGTGATACATTTTGGAAACTGTGATACATTTTGGAAACTGTGTTACCTTTTATACCTTGCGGCCTTTAGACTGTGGTGCCTTTAAAATTGATTTTTTTGCTCCTGGTTTCCTTTTAAACTTCCTTGCAGGCACTTTTGTTATCTATGTTGCTTCCCCTCGGTCCCAGTGATTTATTCCTGGTTCCCTGGGTGTTTAGGGGCCATGTAGGCTTCAGACAGAGTCCTCTCCCTGGTCTCTAACAGCAAACACACTCGGAATAGGCCCACATGTGCAGTTTGTGCCTTATTGGGCCTAATACAGAGGACTTGCATTGTGGGAATACAAGTTGTGGCAGCCATCTTGGATAAGGGCAATTGCCAGAAAGTGCCTAAAATAAAGGGAAAATTACAGTAAACATACACTTATTGGGTAAGTATTTGCAGGGTCTCCAGACATGGATAAGTGCTGTCTTCAGCCTGTTTTAAAGCTGTTTCGCTGGTTTCTTATAGAATTTAACAGTGCACATTTTTTCTTAATACTTTACCACAGGTAATATTTAGTTATTATTTGTCAGGTGTCTGATTCTTCACCAGGATCTGGATATGAGGAGAATACAGTGGAAGGAATCGGTTATGCACTGACTGCCTCCAGAAGGTTGTCGCTTCAGCATGACCTATCACTGTGCAGCCACATGACATGCGGGCAGGGCTTACAAAGTAAGTTCCAGAGGCCTTAGGGGTAAGAAAAGAGGCCAGGCTTTACCCTGTGGAGGAAGTAATTTCCAACCCCAGAACTACACCACCTAAGTTGCACACTTATGGATCATAGGTGGACGCAGACCTGTCCAAAATTTTACGCCTACCATTGCAGGAGGCCAGCCAGCTGTGATTTCTGCTGCTGTTTCTACAAACATGAAATATGTGATTAAAGATCTAAAGGCTACTATGGAGAGAGATATTAAAGGCCAAGATTGAAGAGGCTGTCTGAAGTCTTCTGGTTACAACTGACTTCTTCACAGAAACTTCCCTAGATGTAACTAGGATAGTCTGTGGATCAAATGGCTTTATCTATAGCAGCTAAGAAAGCATTATGGTTCTGTTTCTGGGATGATGACTCATCCTCAAAGTCTGCCCTCTACACCATTCTATTTGAAGGGGTGGTGCTGTTTGGGGAAAACTTTGGATAATTCCATTGAAAAGGCGAATGAGGGCTGCAAAATATTGGTACCTTAGGATGGAAGTTCCAAGGATCCCAGCTCCTCATAGTCTGACCGGAGAACCTCCAGTGACCAGTATTTCTGAGATACATGAAGCTACTGGCCCTGCGGGGAATACTCCAGAGGTAACTCATGGCAGTTGGTAAACCTGCCTTTCAAGGTTCTAATGTAGCTATAACGCAGTTGTTTTGCTCTTCAGCAATGAACATATCTCCTCCATTACTAGGAGCCTCATTTTTCTGATCACACATACCTGGGCTTGTCATACTCTGGAGGCTTGAGTGTTATCCATGGCCCAGATTGATATAGACTGGAGTTTTTTCTTAACGGGCACGGGCCTCCATACCAACAGGAGCATTAAGACCAATGAATCAAAAGGTAAAGCACTGAAGGAAGAAGCCTTCTGGACGAAGAGGTGATTTTTATTTAGGTCCCAGAACAAGAGCAGTTCCAGGGACAAGTTTCGACCTCTCTTCTGGTGCTAAGAGGAAAAGCACATGAAAGCCTACACTGGATCTAAGAGGGGCCAACAAGAGGCTGAATGTTAGAGTCTTCAGGATGGAGTCAATCAGATCCATATCTCAAGCAATCTGGAAGGATAATTTCCTTACCTCTATATATCTCAAGGATGCTTACTTTCAGTCCAATCTGCAGAGATCTTCGGCATTAGCTCAGAAGAGAACTTCCACGTTAGTGCCCTACCATTTGGCCTCAATGCGGCCCCAAGAATCTTTCTATGTGCTTATAGTGTTATTGAGAGTCCAGAACTCCACCTGGTTCCATTATCTGGAGACTCTACTTGTGATAGCCTTAGACCCTCAGAAGGCAGGCACACATAGGTATATAGTTCTTTCATAACTCCTAAAGTTTGGCTGCTTGATGAATATCAAGAAAAGCAGTTTCAGACCACCTCAGTGATTGACATTCCTGAGTTAAAAATTCTAGGCTCTGCTTTTCCCTATCTCGGGAACAGTTCCACAGATTGTAAAGGTTTTCTCTCAGTTTCTTCATTTCTGCTTGGTAACAGCAAGAAAATAGATGCAACTACTAGGAATCCGGGCTTCCACCAGCAGACTTGTCAGAGGGGCCCAATGACATCTCTGGATTCCTTACAGATCCTTCCTATCTTGGTCTAACAAGAGAGAGATTATTGGAGCCAGCCACTTACTATGTCCCCATCAGTGGAGTTGCACCTTACCCTGGCTGCTGAAAGAGGGATTGGATCTCTGAGTTTCCAGTGAACAGAACCTCATTGGTCAATTATTAGCTCGAATTCCAGTTTTTATAAGATTGGTTGCACAGTGTTTGGACCATGTTGCACAATATTTCCATTCATTTGTATGGAATTAAGAGTCATTTTCTAGGCTCTTCTTCACTTCAGAGGCTTGCTGAAGAACGAGTGGGTCCAAATTTGCTCAAATTTCAATGCAACTATATCCTATATCTACCAAGATGGGTCTCACAGATACGTATTGATGGAATTCCAGCCCATAATGATCAGGGCACAGAAGAACAACCAGTGGCTCAGAATACCATGGCTGTTTGCTGGAGCCGAATAACTGTGCCAAGGTGGATTGGCAACCATGTCCTGACGGATCCTCGTGGTTGACGCAGATTGTTTGATGGTCATTTCTTGGAACTACCAGGTCCAGAAGTATTTTTTTACATGCTAGGACCAGAATGCTCAGGTTCAGGATACACTGCCTCAAATTTAGAATTTTAGTATGATGTACATATTTTCCTCTTTTCGACCTTCTTAAAAAGGCAATGCAAGAGGTGACAGTGGAAGACCGTGTCGACTCTAATTCCTATGATGAATAAGATGATTCTGGAACCTCCAAGGAAAATTCCTGTACGTCCAGACCTATTACAAGGCCCCATGACACACCAGGATCCTCAAGTTCTGGTGTTGATGCGGGAGTCCATATTAGTATAGGCATCCCTGAGACGGTCATTGAGATCCTCTTACAATCCTATACAGGCTTTACTAAGCTTGACATGCTTTTGTCTGTTGGAATTACTCCTCGTTCAGGCCTTGAAAGGTTCTGTGTTATAACACTCTAGAGGAACACTTAGCTGCACTTTGCTTCATATAGGCATTGATTGAAATCATGCCTCCACTGAGTGTGGTGAAGCCAATATGTGACATACCAATGGTCACACGAGCCCTGACTGAACCATTATTCGAACTTCTAGAAGGAGCTTCCATGGTGGTAGCACAGAAAGTGCTGGTGGCTGGTACCCCAGCAAGAATAATGGGTGAACTCCAGGCTTGGTCCTGTGAACCCCCTTTCACTACTTTTCAACAGATATGGTCGTCTTGCATTTGGAACCTGAAGATCCTGCCTTTGGTGAATGCTTATCTATGTCATTCTCTACCTGTACTGAAGGGTACCGATTGAGCGTTGAGGCCCCTGGTGTTTTGCTTCATGTAAGCAACAATTGAACTCAAGCCTCCGCTGAGGGTGTTGAAACCAATATGTGATGTACCACTGGTCTCACAGACTCTGACTGTACTTCTAGCAAGAGCTTCCATGATGTTAGCCCAGACGTTGCTGTTGCTGGTGACTGGTACCTCAGCAGGGTGAATGTGTGCACTTGCTGCACTTTGCTTCATATAGGCATTGATTGAAATCATGCCTCCACTGAGTGTGGTGAAGCCAATATATGATGTACCACTGGTCTCACGGGCCCTGACTGAACCATTATTCGAACCTCTAGAAGGAGCTTCCATGGTGGTAGCACAGACAGTGCTGGTGGCTGGCACCCCAGCAAGGGAAATGGGTGAACTCCAGGCTTGATCCTGTGTACCCCCATTCACTGAATTTCAACAGGAGATGGTTGTCATGCACGTAGCACCAGTGATCGTGCCCAAAGTGAGAGCCTTTCAATGCCGTTCTCTACCTGTAGCGAAGGATTTGGGGCATTCTCCACTAGTGCTGTTACAGCATCTCGTGGGCTTCCATGGCAATGGTCTCTGCTGAAACTTTGTAAAGTTGGCATTTTGACCTCTTTGAACTAGTTTGTCCTGCATTACATATTGGACATTGAAGCAATTAACGAGGCACAATTTGGACGTCACGTCCGTTCTCTACCTGTGCTGGAGGGTATCAGGGCACTCTCCTCTCATGCTGTTGCAGCATCATGGGTTGCCATGGCAATGGTTTCTGCTGACACTTTTTGTAAGCTAGCATTTGAACCTCCTTTAGACACGTTTGTCTGGCATTTCATACTGTTCGTTAAAACAGTCTATGATGCACAATTTGGTACTCAAGTACTTAACTCAGTTCATTCTTCTATCTATGTTGAATTATTCTGATAATTTGATTGGCTATTCTGTCCCTCCCTTTGTAAGCTTGGGTATTCCCCATGTGTATATGCTGCCATGATTAGCCAGGAAAGTGGAAAATTTATTCATACTTACCGTTTTTCTTTTCCTGGCTATTATTCATGGCAGCATATACTTCCCTCCCATTAAACGTCTCTATTTATGTACTGTAGAGCTTGTAAACTGACTGAGGACCTTAGGGATGGAGCCTCCTTTTAAAACCTTGGTGGTTTTCCTGTCCTATCGGCTGTAGGGGAGGAGCTAACCCATGTGTATATGCTGCCATGAATAATAGCCAGGAAAAGAAAATTACGGTAAGTATGAATAAATTTTCCACTATATACATAAATATATACGTATATATCACTATATATATACCTATATATAAATAAAAATATTTAAAAAAAATTATATAAATATATACATATATATACACATACGTATATATATATACATATATTAATTCTACATATATATTTATGTAATATTTTTACATAATTAGGTATCTTAATTAATTACAATTAGCTGGACCTGCCTGACAACCCATGCCGAAAATAAAGGGAATTTAATTTGCTAGCACTATATTTAACCCTATAACTTTCCAAGACACCATAAAACCTGTACATGGGGGGTACTGTTCTACTCGGGAGACTTCGCTGAACACAAATATGAGTGTTTCAAAACAGTAAAATGTATTACAACGATGATATCGCCAGTAAAAGTGAATTTTTTTGCAT